AGAAAAAAATTGAATTTTTTTAGGGGAAAAAACTAACAACTACAAACCAAACGTAGATTATTTACGATCAAACTATTAGGAATAACTGCGACCGAATACGAAATACGTAATGACACTTATTACTATAACCATATATATTAACGATAATAATTTACACCTACATTGGTGCCTCAACATAAGTTACGCAACTTTCACGACACCGGATTTGATATTTATAATCTACGAGGCTTCGTCCTTCCTCGTAACGATCGCTAGATTAATATCATAGGAAGTTGAAGACTTCCTTTGAAGGACTTTCTGGAGGAACGGGTCCATTGTCTCGTTTATTTGATAATTCATCGTTCGTTGCTGTTCTACTGTGGATCATTGTGACAAGGTCCTTGTTAAATTCTGGCAAATATGGCACACGGTCGTTGCCACTTGACCCTCGGTTTTACAACTACGGTGATATTTAAGTCCTTCGAGTTTCATCGTGCTCTTCGACATTGAGCATTGTACGAACGCCCCTGACACGTCATCCTCGGTGCTTGGCATAATAATGTTGCTTCACCGCCATTCTTTCGCGGTAGATTGTGTGTTTTTTCAACTATAATGGAAGGAAACTGCTTTACGACGATTACATGTTAAACACGGGTCTTTAACGCGAAACTCGGCTCCGAAGATCAAAGTTCAGACGTAGAACGAATACAAAGAAAATCTTAGAAACGATCGTATTTCTCGTCGAAAGGTATACAAATAAAAAGATACATCATAGTCCGAAACACTGAAGATAAATGCGAGAGAATTTAACTTATTAAATACAGAACGACTCCGACGGATCATCAAAGGCTATACATTTTCGCGTAAATCTTGTTACAGACTTTCATCTCGTAATAAATGTACTTTTAGAGCCGGTAGAAAATTGAATTTCCGGTCTTCTTACGCTCGAGCAACGTTCGTCAATAATCTGGCAGTCTCTAGAGAAATTTAGAAAGAGGAAGAAGCTTTCCCTGAAACGAAAAATTGATATTCGGAGATTGGTCTGGTCCTGTTTAGCGACTTTTTTCTTCGACTTAAAAGATATGTGACGTCAGTCTGTGGCTAAGGTGCGTTACTCCCACTACTGGATGGACAATCCGAGTAGAGACACGGGTGTACACGTTGTCCTGTCGAGGGAACAGGTGCACAGTGGCGATCGGTCGGCCAGGTACAACGATATCCGTCAGTCGATGCGCGAACGAGAAAGTGAAAAGCCGGCGTGCAACGGTTTCTAGATCTTGCAGGGTAGTGGATCGCTATTAAAGATCTCCGAAGATCTCGACATATTCGCTCTCGACTCGATCCACGAGCATCGCGAAAACTTTTCTCGGCAGTCTCGAGTGTTTCGCTTGGATCCTCGACTCGAACGGATTGCAAAATCGAATAAGCAAATTCGAATCGTCCAATGTAAAGTGTTTGGAGTTCGAAGACGTCCATTAGGAGAAATCAGGCGGGTAAGACGAGACTTTATATTTTAGAAACCTTCTGCTGGCCGAACGAAAGGAAGAAGAAAGTTCGATGCACAAGAATACTCTGTTCCGTCAGAACTTATCCTAAATCCTCGTGCTTTTACCGTGGATATACTCGTGTAGGAAGTAACACGTTGCACCACGTACTTATATATTCGAGAGTTTTAGTTTATAATTAGTCTGAAACCTACATTGCCCAGAACCTACATTAGATATTAATCGCGGAACTAATCGCGTTAGAAATTGTTTATCCGAGTAGATTATTAGTCACGGTCCTGTATTTTGCTCGTAATAATATGTTATATAATCGACGTTTTATCATCGGGTCCAAACGATCTGACATTACGGAACGAAGGTCAGCAGAACGCGTCTCAGGTGATCAGACATAGAAAAAACAAGCAAAATGAGTCGGATTGACGTCAACGATGTTACGACTGTAAATCAATCCTGTTGAAACTTCAACGCCGGCAATCAATTATCGTCGTTTCGCACTTTCCTGGTAATTCGCGTTAACGGGAGCCATTGAATCGCACGAAAGTAAACCACGCGTTTCTTTGTACATACGTATTCGGCACCTATTCAAGGTTGAGCGAACGGATCGCGACCCCCGAAGATGCGAATCGCGATCTCGCAGCCGGTTCCTCTCGTTTCCGGTCCTCGCGCCTCGCGATACTTTGCGTTGCGCAACATTCCTCTCGAAACTCATCGAACGAGGATTTAACTGTCGCGTTGTGACAAATCCAACCTGCGGAAACGACCGTTTGCGAACCACATTATTAAAAATAAACAGAGCAAATGAAAACGATACTGTACAGTCATTATGCAAGTACGAGTACAATTACATTTTATTTCATTTCACCGGATGTATTTCCAATTATATTCCTCGGTGTACGTGTCCAAATTATTTGAGAATCGTTCGAAATACGAAACAAAGATGCAAGGAATGTCGAAGAATATCCTTCGATTTGCTAAAACTCCTTTGACCCGTGAACAATCGAAGGACCCGAGCCATTTTCTATTGGCCAGACGCGAGGCATCGACTACTTAGACCGCGGAACTTCTTCCGGCTCGTGTCATAGGATATTCCTGCCGCGTTTCTTCGACCGTAGAGGCTTAGACCTTTCCTTTGTGGCTACATGCGAGTGCAATGATCGACGCTCGATCAACCGGAAACTTGCATCGATACTTTAACGAGCTGCATCTGCGGGAGGGACAACTACATACGCGACGCGGCAATTAGATGAATGAACGTATCGTTCGTATTTCAATAGTACGTGCCCGACGACACGGTAAGCCTCCGTCGTTAACGTTTTCGACGAATTTAATCGGTTTGCTGGCTAAATCGATTATACTCGGTCGACTAAACTCGATATACTGGCAATTAAAAAGCATTTAAAATTCAATTATAGGTTTCGTTACGAATGGAACTACGCTACGTGCGAAAGTTAAACCGGCTCTCGTCGTTTCTATCGTTGGTTAATTCAATGCCAAATTTGTGTTTCGTCTGTTCTCGAAAATCTTCGAAGCGTGGAAATAAAATCTATCGCGCTACGATTATAAACAGCTCGTAAAGTCTTTCGAGCAGTTAAATCGCTCGAGGTCTAACGAGAGGGGAACGAAACTCGAGAGTTTTTAAACCGGTGAAAAATGCATCGATAAGTTAACTCGTGCACACCAATGTTCGTGCAAAAAAAATTGGGTCGTGCCGATCGTACACGAACGATTAGACGATTCGAATCACAGCCACAAAAGGCTTCCTGCGTATCTGCTTTTTTCACGGTCCGCGTATAACGTTTTCCTCCGCCGACGTCGTAAAAATTATTTAAACGTGCCGTGCAAAACTGGATAAGTTCGCGCACCACAGTCTGAGCATGAATATACGCCATCGATTTTCCGTCCATAGCTTCTTGAATAAACGTACTAACGAACATAAATAAGTTACTCCTAACTAACTATACCGCGATGCAAAAGCTTGGTTATCGTTGGACCAACGCGGGGATGATTCTATTTTCTACGCAGGAAAGAAAAATAAAACGAAGACGTGTCGAGTCAGCTCATGTGGCTCGAAAAGCGGCACGTAAAAGTAGTCGAAATAACTCGACGAAAATCTTACGTAAGGATGTGTTCAGCCAAACCCGATGACGATACGTCATTTACATCCTGACTTCAAGGATCCGCGTTCGTAAAGACAGTTGAAAGGACACGTTTACCGGTAACCGTTGGTTGTTCGAGCGGAAAACTCCGCGGTCGAGAAACCAATTAGTTTTTGCATTCTAACTGCGTGGCGACATTGATTTTCGACGCTGTACGTTGCGAGAGAAAAATTACCAAGGAAACTTTGTCAATCAAGTGACTAGTAATCCGGAAAACGTGTTTAAAATTTCTTGGTCGCTGAGCCTCTTGATAAATTGTAGATATCTATTTTTCTGTACTCTGTTCCATGCAACGGAATATTAATATTGCGCAAGTTATTTGTAGATGTATTCCGTTTTTCTTAACACATGAATCGTAAATATTAAGCTTGTGTATTTTGTCACCGGGATATTTGCGACGGTCGTTACAGTGTCACGCAACGACTTGGTACGATTGTTTCTGTCCTGACTGTTAAGAATGAACAGAAACTGGTTAAAAAGGATGAATATTACGTACGAAACTTTAGTTTTCTCGTTTTCGATCGGTTTCTTTAAAAATCTATGCTACAAGTTGCTTTATTCGAGAGCTCTGTAAATAGAACGAGGACGGATTGCCTTCTAATTTTTATTAATGCCCGTTGTGTAAGTAGACCCACATAGGTGTGGTTCCGTCCAGTTTTCAAATACAGGAGCCTTGCGTGACCACTTCGCAGATTACGGTCCTATACCGTGTACAAACGTACCACTGCCTCGCTGTACTGTTACCGAGTAAAAGTACGTTAATGTATCAATTATCGATAGCTGTAAGGAGTGATTACAAACTGTAGTAATTACGGATCTGTACAATTGGTTCGTTAGATGCGCGCTAACAAAGCATGAATGGCTGACGCGCGCGGAAACAGGATACATTTAAACGAGGATGGACGTGGCGAAATTCAATTAACGGAGATTACTCTGCATTTATTGTTCTTTATAGTCTTTCCTTTTAAACTGTGATTGTCCATTTATCTTCGTCCATATGTACGTTGTGAATTTTACTCGGGAAATTCTGTGTCAACAAGAAGGTGATTCAAAAAAAAGATGCAAAAGAAGTGTCGAACGATTCGATTAATGCAAGATCGCGAATCGACACGCTTGTTCTATCCTTCTATGGACTGTTATTGCTAGTAACAGGTCGCTGGAATTCTCTTGCTTGTTAGACAAATTGGATCGACGAAACGTGTTCACCGACGGAAAGTTAATCGTTAATAATGGATCAGGTTATCTTGCAACTGGTAATAATCGTGTTTTATATTAAATTGAACGGTGTATCGCGCGTCATCCGACAAATAATAATCATCGAAAGGTATTATGCAGGGAAATTTAATTTGGTAAATTACAGAGAAGGGGGACGACACGAGGCCCATTCAGCGCAGTCCACGCAGGATCGCAGGAAGCTCTTGAAGCGAACGAGAAGCCTTGCGGTGATATCGGAGGACGAATCTCGACAAGATCGAGAAGCGCACCACTTCAGACTAGGACAATCGACCTTCGATTTACCCCGAAGGCATCAATTGATACCAAGAGCCAAGCTGATCGATCGGAACTCTTTAAAGGACAGGTGAGTTGCAATCAAATGAAAGCGTTTCTTCAGTCGTTGATAAGATAAACGAATCGTTCGTCAGAGACATTTATAGTCAATGAGACATCAAAAAATATAATATATTTTTTGGAACGTATGTTAAGTTGATACTTTCGTGATTCGGATTCGCAAAAATTTTTCTCTATATTTCTTACAAAGTCCCATGCACCGCAGAGAATTATAAATATATCAGTCTTTATTTAAAATTATAATTCTTGCGGTTTCAGGACTTTATGTTTCCACGACAAAATATTCTTTTGTCTCTTCTACGTTTCGTTCATTGTATCTGTTCCACCGATTTCAAAAGAGATACATTAAGGTTTAATCCTATCTGCATAAAACGCCGCACAAAGAGTATTATAAAACACGAAGGACGTGGTAAAGTTTTCATCTGAATAGTTTGAATCGTTAAAAATGTTCTAAAACAATGTTAATTAGTGTAGAGAACGCATAGTGTAACGAGTTGCTTTGAAGTTTTTAATTAAATGCGAGGATTCAGTCGCGCGTCTGCGTTTCCGGGTTATAAACGGATTCCTTACACGATATTCCGAATACCCTTTCGATAGTTACAGTTTCATTCAGGGTTTAATTATAGCGCGAACAAATATCAAGTCCTAGTGCAGCAATTAGAGGAAATTGTTGTCTAGAACGCGGAAAATATCATTCGCCAAAAGGGTTTGATTGCATTAATCGATACAACTCGACGAATTAGTCAACTTTACTGAGAATGGTCCATGAACCGGTTCGAGACCAGCAGCGATTTTGTGCGTTATTAAAAAATACACGAAACCTGTACAAACTCGTTATGGATTCGTGAGATTTTCCACGCGGAAACGAGTTACACAGCGTATAACCGACGCTCGAGAAACTTTCTTGTTTTCAATATCCTTTTACGGTTCGCTGCGGACGGTTCGATGTGTTAAAATCGCTTTAATAATGCAATCGCTGGCAACGATAATTCGTACGCGATACGCAATACGCAATTTCAAGCTTTTTTCGATCGAAAATTTCAGCGATTTATGGGAAAAATCTGTGAAAGATCTGTACCTGTAAATGTTAAGAACCTTAAAGAGCATACGACTCCGAGAATAATATTCTTGGGAGGCAACGCCGAGGTATTGGAAATCGTCTTGGACCGATCGGTTATCAATGTACGTAATTCGATCTATATTTCAGGCTTTCCAAGAGTCAACAGCATCTTTCGGACTCCTACGAAAGATTCAACGAAGCAAGATCCTACCATTCGAGATCGGCTTGCGGGCTTCACTCGATTCCGCCAGGATTTGTTCCATTCCCGGATCCTTTGGTTCATAACCGGTGCAATCGGGTCGACTCCGACCGATTGAACATCCTCGATTGGCCAGAATCGCCGCGACGTTACCACAGCGTTCAGGATTTGGACACCGTTAGCGGCTTGGTGGACATCGTCGAAGACAATTGGCCCATCGAAGGCAATCGTAGCATCGATTGCATCTACACTCAGGTAAATCGGGCAGCAACGATTGCGTACAAATTTACGAAGGAACCACACCCAGCGTTACGCATCGATTTTAACAGGATTCGCAAATATATTTCGGCTCTCTGTTTGCTTACAATGTCTACGTTTAAATCGATGCGTAATATTTCGGGCGGTCTCCGTGCCAGGTGAATAGATTTTTTAGTTATTTTGGAATACAACAACGGATGAGAGTTTTTCGGGGAGAATCAGAATTTTCTTCGATTCAGGTGAAACGCAAACGCAAGGAGCACAGAAGTTTGGACAGCATTCTCTTCGAAGACGATGGCGAATTAGAGTACTTTGACGTTTTGAACTTGTTACCATTGTCGAACGTACGATTGGAATTCGACGAGGATGACGCTAGGAACAACAATCTAGCCGAGAGAAACGAGAGGAATCCGGAGGTGAATAAGCTAAAAGTAATCGATTACCTTGAATCGCGGACGATCGAGGACAAGTCACGCGCAAGGAACAACGCAACGGATGAAGAAAAATGTAAAAAGAATACCACGAAGGAGGAGAACGGTACGCGCGAGATCCACGAGGGAGATTACCGCAACAACGACACGAAGGAACCCAATTTGCAACCGTTCGCAACGGTTTCGCACGAACACAGGAGGGAGGTTTTCGATCGACGCGGCGAGGTTCAAGAAAGTTTCGACGACGAAGGGAGTTCGATAAGCTTTCAGGACGAGTCCGTCGATCGAGAATCCGCGTCGTCGAGGACCGATGAAGACAAGTACAGGCTGGACGTCGAGTTAGCGTCTTCCAGCGAGGAGCGGATCGATCGAAAGGTCGAGGAGGCCGAAGATTACAAGTCGATTTGGATATCGGACACCGAGGAGCAGGAGGACATGTCGCGGAGGCCGCAGGTACTCAAGGTCGTGGACAACGACGTGACGAAAAGACGTTACCGACACTCTTCGCCAGATGTTGATGCGATCAAAGGGGAGGAGAGAAAATGCTGCGAGAATGGAAACGAATCGAACGATCGTTTCCAGGTTGGGAAATGGGGGGCGAAAGCTGAGAGCGCCGATGGAGGTTCGAGGAATATGGAGGTAAGCTTCGACGCAATCTCGTTTGTTGATTCTTTTCCTATGCTTAGTTGCTCTTTTACAGAACGTCACCCAGGAAGACGACGAGGCGAACACGAATATCGAGGACGCCAAGAATTTCTTCGAGCGAAAAAACTCGTCTAAGGAGAGTTCCAAGAGCAAACAGAACGAGGGCAGGTTCGAAAGGATCGTAAAGGGAACGACGAATATCTTCGGGAAGGCGTGCAGCGTAGTGAAGGAAAGCCTGGGTTTCGAGGCGAGATCCGAAAGCTCGGATCTTGGATTAGGTTCGGAATCTGGTAGCGACACGAGAAGAAGGTCGGTCGATGACGGCATCGATGACGATCAGAGCTCGGAGAAGGTATCGTCTAACAAGGCGAACGAAAGCAACAAAGTGCACAGCAATTTAGCCAGGTCTAGAAGTTGCGTGGATTCGATCGACCAGGACGACGAGCAAGAGTTCGATCACGTTCGCTATAAGATCGTTAAGTCTAATATGTTTGGCAAGAACGTGTACAACAGTGGTCGAGGCGACGTAACCTACGAGGGTCTGATGCAGTATCTGCGGGAATACTCGTTCCAAGAGCTGCTGCTAGATAACAATGTTGTTATCATCGAACCTGTACGCGCCGAGACGATAGAACGGAAGCCATCTTCTGCGGGGAAAGCAAGATCGGGGTCCAAATGCAAGATAGCCGGGACGATACAGAAGAAACCGGACATGGAAAACCGCGAAAGAAACTGCAAAAATTCGGACAGCGATAATTCTAAGAGCCCGAAACAGTCGTCCATCAGAAAGCACTTTTTCTACCATCCCATCAGAGTGAACCGCGAGCTCATCGACGAAGAACTGCCCAATCCGGACACGGTGAAGAACGTCAGACAAATGTTCGAGGATACCTTGAAGGTGAAAAACGGCTCGCGCGTGGATCTCTCAGGAGACTGTAAGAGCCGAAAGAGCGTCAGTATGAAAGATCTGACTGCAATCGACACCGCTCGGTTCAACGAAATATCTGATAAAATGCAGGAGGGATCCAGGTAGGACGCAATTCCTCTATTATTTATCCGATTCGTTTGGTTTCTTATTAACGAAAGTCGCTGTCAGGTCTAGGTGCTGCAGCAGGGCGAAGGATCTCACCAAACTGTTCGAGAACATGGAGAAATGTACGTCTTCGAACGCATCCGTAGTGGGTTGCAAAGACGAGCTCGACAGCCCACGTAGCGAGTCAAAAACGAGGATTTTAGCGCAGAGTTTCGAGGCGCGGAGCGGACACACGTCGCCTAGCGACTCCACGTCTTCTAAGAATAAGGCGAATCGTTACCACCAGCATCACCATCACCATCATCATCATCATAATTGGGACTCTGGAAGCGTGAGCTCTGGAGTGTCTAGCGATTACCCTGACACCGATCCTGGTAGCGGAGTGCAATGCGTCTCCTCGGAGGACGAGGAAGTCGACTGTCACGACGACGACGGCAACGAGGCAACCGATTCGAGCCATTATGTCTCGCAAGATGTTCTTAAGAAAATTCGAGAGTGCGGTACGTCGGTTACCTATTACGGCGGCAAAGTGGTAAACTCCAGCAACGGGCCGCTGATATCGCCGGTGGTCGAAAACAGGTTCAAGTGCATCGAAAGGTCCAACGATTACGTTAAATTTCGGCTTGTCAAGAGCAATTCCTGCGACAGCAGGCTCGAACTCACCGGCAGGCTCGTCGAAAGTCACCTAAGATGTCGAAACCGAGATAGAGCGAGCGACCTGAGCCAGTACACCATCGACGAGACTCCGAGCATCGAGATCACCACGATCGAGAAGCAAGAGGAATCGGAGGAGATCGAGAAGGAGGACGATAAGAGGATGAATCACTCAGAGGTGAAAAGAGAGCCGCCGGTGGTGATTGGCTTGGAGCCAAAAAAAGAAGATGGCAACAAGGAGACCAAGGACTTCAAGGTGGATTTTAAACTGGGCACCCTCGACGACGCGAAATCGACTTATTCCAGCCGATTTATCGGCAGCGCTATGACCAGGTGGCAAGTGAACGAAAACAATTGGAGGACCCCGGACGATTTCGGCAAGATGGAATTTGAGGAATTCGAGGTACTCGAGGACAGTTTGAATACAGCGGACCACCAACGTTTAGAAACTTCCTGAACAATTGGGCCTTTCGAGTCGATAATTTCGGTAGTGTTTTACGTAGTGATATTCGTGTAACGATTTTCGATATTTTCAAGCTTGGACAAAATTGTCCGAAAGACTCGACTGCATCGTTTTCTTCGCCTTTGAAGAGAGTTTCGATCGAGTTGTTCGAGAATATCGTATAATCGTTTCGATCGTGGTCGAAGGGAGTTGTACAGGTGTCATTTGAGGTTTCCTAGCAACGACCAACATTATTATTTAACAAAATCGTAAATACAACAAAACGTTGATCGTTGAGAAAATTTACAATAGTCTACAATATTATATTATTATTAAGTAAGGGAATTATTCAGATATAAAAAAATACAAGTGTACATAACGAAGTTAAACAGATCTTTAAATTGTCGAGTGTTCTCATTAAATTGTTACTTGTGTTACTTACGCCGTCGTTTTCTGACTATGAAAATAAACACACTTTAAGAGCATTCCCTGTAACCTAATCCTTTCAATGTACATAATAAGCTCAAAGTAGATTGTCCCTTAACAAGCGTAGAGGAAACTTAAATTTCTTTAAAGAATAATAGATTAGTAAGCAGTATGTATGTATTATATATAATGCAAGTTCTTTTATCGTACAAACGTTTTAAACCGATGTTAAAGCGCTGTACGAATGTTTTACGTTAATCAAAATTTCATACGATTATATTTACGATTATGTAAAATTTCTGTACAATACAATTCAACCGTAATTTCCAGTTGTATCTCTCCACAGTAATTTATGCGTTAAACCAACATGTTACTCTCGAATTTATTACCGAATGCGTTCCCATTTTGCGTTTTACAAACGTAATTGGAAACCTTGCTGGTTTACCACGTTATTACTTTGTGCGTGTTTCTATGCAAAGAATAAAAGCGTAGTTTGAAAGTGTTAAGAATCCCCGCCTACATCCTTACAAGATAATGAAATCAACAGAAATCTCACCGCTGCCATTCAATCCAGCAATTGAAAAACTTTATTGCGTTTGCTTTTATGGGAATACACCGATATTACCTCTCTTTCTTCTTTTATATCAAGTTTTACTGCGTTCTGTCACTCACCAACGTCTTGCTCTTCTCGAACAACCAGGTTCTTTTCCGTTTTATCCTGTGGCAATCTTGGTATCTTCGTTTCCTTTGACGAAGTACTCGAGTCCTCTATTCCCTTCGCTAGAATCGGACTTAAGCTCGGAGCAAAGGTGCTCGTCGTCAGGGAAAGACTTCTGTGGGAGATATGCCACCATCTTCTACACCACGTTTCCTGGAATTTGAAAAAGTAGAGTTACCGTAATGCGACTATAGTGATCCCTACAACGTGAAACGGTTTGCAAGGTTCGGAGACATACGTAATGTCTGTATTTGTCGTACCGATAAAGACGAACGATTTACTTTTTGATATTTCTTTAAACGCGCAGTATTTTTAAATACAACAGAAGCTATGAACTATTTTAAGTACGACTGTACAAGCAGGTTGTGGATGCGCTCGTATGTACAGACCTGTTTTCTCATGTTTTTCGTTAACTCAGCTATTTGCGTTTAATTAACACGTCCTCCTCGGAACAGCAAATACCAGAAACGTTATATTGCACGATGCACGTTAGCTAAGCAAATTCTGATTTCACGAATTTAATTTCGAACATCGTAATTGCATTTTTTATCGATTATCCAGTATCAGCTTGAACGCTGTCAACATCGATTTTTGAATATATTAGGAAAGATCCACTTGTAGTATAGATATTTGGAAAGTCGATTCAACGGCTTCGCGTCCTGAAATTAGCATAATCGTTATTGTAACAACAATCTTCGTATCTTCTGCGAGTCGCATACGCACGTGTCTCTGTTCCTTTTAATCGTATGTGTATAATGTCGCGAGATAAAGCCTGATAGATGTTTTACGAATGCTCAGGCATAAGAGAGGCTGATCCACACAGATAAACTCGTCGGAAAGACGTCTTCAGTCGTCGCGAGCCTGGCGAATATCCAGGATACGGGGTCAACGCGGGGTTATGTTGCAACTGGAGTTCGGCCAGGGTCGTGCTACGATTGGGCGTGTACACTTGCCAGGATACGAATTCCTAAATAAAATTAATATAAAAACTTTACGGTATTCTTTGTGGGAATTTACATAATATCGTTCCCCGTTTCGATACTCAGTCTCGATTTAATTGACCCGAGAGCACGATCGTTCGCCATGGAAATAGAATTTAACGTAGTACCTATCGCTACGAACGTTTGCCTTGTTCAGCGACCTTATTATAGAAACGCGTAACATAATATCCACGGATAATTAACTGCTGGCTATATAAACTTTAAATAGTACCATTGCCATCCGCGAAAGTGGAACTCTGGCTGTTCGGAGCTTTATGCGTTTAGCGTGGGTGTGCGTTCGAAAATAATATATTTTAAGGGCAAAAAGTGCCATAATTAAGACTCAGTAGGCAATGTTACAAGAACATTTACGTGTTGCTTAAATATTACCAGAACAGGTAACATTCTGTTGGCTAACTATACACAGTCGCTAGTAGTCTATTTATAAAATGGCAAAACAAAGTTTTGTTGTTGTAGGTATGCCAGAAGTTGCTTAAACACGTACTAATCGATGCATCGTTTGCTTAGTTTCGTACACTACTATTTTCCCTCGAAGGTTCATAGAACATAGAACTTACGAAGGTCTGTTCGTCTACTATTTTAATGGATATTATTCGAAAATACGGATTCGATCATATTATCGTCGAGATTTAAATGAAAATTTAAAATGCATCGAGCGAATTTGCACAAACTGTAGTCAGTTATAAAATAAATTTTCCGGATATCGAGGTCAATCGATAGAGTAGGTATACGCGGAAGTGGAAGTTTTCCATTCCTTTGACCAAGTTTCCGCGCAAAAACAGGTCACCGACAGTTGATTATAAAAGCGGCCGCCATTAAAATTGTTAAGCCGCTAATATTTGATTCATGTCGACTCTCGAGCGAAGAGTTTAAGGAATCTCGTTGGAAATTTCGCGTCTAAGGTTCGTTAACGAGACAAGTTTCGAGCGGCAGAGTTTTGGCTGCTGCAGTTATAGTTAAATGCGTTTTCTGAACTCGCCGCTTTCGAGACGGCGAAGAAACATCCAGCACATATTGTGTCGCGATGTAAAAATAATACCTTCTATTTTCACGTCGCCGCGTCGTGACGGCTTGCGCCCTTGTTCGTTCGCGAGCTCCTTGTCTGAATAATTTTAAGCAGCGAGTCACGGCAGCGAAGTGGCTCTGATTAAATGCCGACTGTAATCTAGTAGAGGGATCTCGGATAGAAACGACGAACGTAATGCAATACGGAAGGGGTCGGAAACCAGCGCGTTCGTAACGGAAAAACGAGATTGCCTAGCAGAAGTTTTCAATCGTATTCCACAAATGATGTCTTGTAACGAGCGAAATAAATCACTTTCCTCGCCGCGTTACGTCTCCGTTAACCTTCGACCTGGGAAACCTAAACGATTCGAAATATGATTTAGGAAAGCGGAGCGAATGAAAAACAGTCGAGTCTGTGTTCTTCTTGCATCGATCGACCACTTTATCAATTTTCATGAAAAACCCGTTTACATAAAGTTCAAATATTTTATATTAATACTGAATTATGTATTACTCGATACTCTTGATTCATAACACTGTGGCGACGACATTAAAATATCTGCTTGGGAATCGTGTTACCGCGTAACAGAATGCTGTAGTAGAGATCATGCAATTTCTCGGAATTAAATTCATCTCGTTCTCGTGGAACGCAAAGTATTCAGAAGATTTCAGCGAACAATTATGGAAACGATATTCCGAGATGTTTGATCCCCGGGCAAAGAAATTTTTTAAACTGTATTTGTAAGACATGCTTTAGAAATATAATATTCGTAAAAATATTCAAGAACTTTTTCACGTTCTCGTTACTTTTTCTCGCGTCACGATCATTACCAAGTTTCTCTTATTCCTCCTTTTCTTTTAACTTTTCGGAAAACGTGTTACGAGCATTCCAAGATTGTGTCGCGATTAAACTGAATTTCACGCTAGAAACTTCTCTCGGGAGAGTTCTTGAAATTATCACGGGCCGAGACAATAATTTTCAAAAACATCCAGTGTTGTGTAACTTCTTACAGGTCCTGTTTGTAATTGAATATGTTCGGATATTAATATATTTAGTCTCAACGTTCCTCGCGGACATGTTCGTTTCGCTGAATGGAAAGATGAATCTTTTTATTTTACAAGTTGGAATCAAGATTCTCGATGGTTATTTTTCAATAGAAATAATGAGCTACGATGGGTTTCCAACCTGGTAGTAATTCGGTCGTTATAATGAGCCAGTGAAAGCAACCACTCCACACGGGAGCCCTTTAAAAGCATTTTGTCGAGAATATGAAAATAGAGCAAATGCGAGAAACGGAAGAAAACCGAGAGAGAGCGAACCCGTTTGCAATTTCGCTCGCGTACGGTACGGTATTACATAAATAGCATTGCATACATTAGGCGCAAACAGCGGTTTTAGTTCTGTTGATAGATTCTAAATTGAATGTCAAGATAATTGCGCGGCCGTAATACGATTTTCGCGATGCGTTTATTGAAATAGTTCTGTTCATCTATTTAATATTCAATTTATCCATGCTTTGCCCGTACTCATCCATAACAACACTGACACAAAAGGTAGAATATCAAGCGAGAGACGGAATCGTCCAATGGATACTGTGAAAAACTGCTAATTACGTAATTAGCAACTTGAATGTTTTAACAGTAAATGTCATCGATAGGTAATGAATTCTCAATACTCATTAACCCGTAATAGGAACAATATTTATTGTAGAACGTTACCTTCGAATGCTGGCTATTTTTATCGACGCAACAGTTTCCTGAATTCAAAAGACTGACAGAAGTTTTTCCGAAGTTCAGACTATTTTGTTACTTTTAGAATGTTATAACCTTTGCTTTAAATTTCAGTCAAGTGTAGCGTACGAAATAGGGCTAATAAAGAATAACAACTAGAACTAGAGACTTCAGAGTGTAAAATGTGGTAAAAGCACGTTCAAGTTGTTATTAACGATTAATAAAAAGTGTCACACGATGCAAGCTCCGCAAAGATGCAGTTCTGTGCATCGAGTTTAATGCAGGTTTCGACGTTGTTTTATAGCATTACCATTAGGGTGTGTCAAGTCGATGTTTCGTAATCACAATTCTACGAAATTAATGGGGTGCGGATAATGGAGCGATCGCTTTTAGTGGCCTATAATTCTAACAAAATCGATGAGCTAGTTTCGAGCACTTTGTTGCAGGAGGACGAACCGTAAAAAGTATAAAGCATACAGAACGCACGAAATAAACGAGATAAAATACGTTTTAAATGTATACAGCGAGTCACGATTACTCATGGTTCATAAGCTTTTATATCGCGATTTAAAAATTCATCCCTTTACGAGGACACGCAGAAAATGCAACCCGGAGCAATTTCCCCTTTCTGAATAAGCAACGTTCTGGAAACAGACGATTTTATTTCATGCGAATATTGTATCTTCGTTGCAAAACTTTTACAAGAAGGCTACCTTACTTCGTACACTATTGGCGCATTACTTCAAAAACTGCTGCCTTCTTTAATAACGTCAGAAGTTTCTGGAAAATGAAACAGTTCTGTTCTGATATCAAGTTTTTTATAAATTCTGGAGAACCTAGATTCAAATTTACGATAGTTATTAAATATCGTAAATAAAAATTCGAAATATCATCACCCGAATATGTATACAGGGTGTTCGGCCACCCCTGGGAAAAATTTTAATGGGGGATTCTAGAGGCCAAAATAAGAATAAAATCAAGAATACCAATTTGTTAATGGAGCCTTCGTTAAAAAGTTATTAACGTTTAGAGTTCCACCTGTACTGAATTTTTTTCTCGAAAATGCGCAAGATTTCGGGGGTATGTCTATTCACCAAAAATGATTGTAATTGACCCCCGTAAACGAAAATAATTTTTTTAGAACAATTTGAAATTTTTTTTTCGCTGAAAAATTTGTCAACCTTCCTGAATTTTTTTCTCGAAAATGTGCAGGATTTTGGGGGTATGACTATCCACCAAAAATTATTATAATTGACCCCCGCAACCGAAAATAATTTTTTCAGGACGATTAAAAAATTTTTTTATTCGTCGAAAAATTTCAGCAGCTACCCGATTTTTTTTCTCGAAAATGGATAGGATTTCGGAGGTATGTGCATTCACCAAAAATTATTGTAATTGACCCCCGTAGCCGAAAATAATTTTTCGAGAACGATTTGAAATTTTTGAATTTAATTGTTAATAATTTTTTAACGAAACCTTCATCAACAAATTGGTATTCTTGATTTTCGTCTTATTTTGGCCTCTAGAATCTCCCATTAAAATTTTTCCCAAGAGTGGCCGAACACCCTGTATAATAAATATTAATTGCAGATATTAATTTATAATAACGTATTCTGTCTAATTTCTTACACGTAGATTCAAATATTTGTGCTTTTTAGTCCGTTTGTTTTTTTAGAGCATTAGAAACACACCGGAAAGGAGATAATTCGCGCGTAAAAGGTAGCCTGCAGCGGACACCGAGGACCTCTGCGATGGGAACAAAAATCGTCTTGCTTCGAGTTCTATCCAGATAAGAATTATCCACTCTTCCAGAGAATTTCTCGGGGTCGAGGGAACGTGCAGTGGAACAGATCGATGCCCATGGCGCCTGCCGCAGCCTCCGCAGTCTGTATCCCTCTGTACAACCCCGTAACTGCTATAACAAAGTACACATTGGTGTATACCTATGTGTGTATGCACCGACCCACAAGAGTAAATAATTGGGTTACTACACGCGCACTGAGAAACTTGACTCTTTCGTCCAATTAATCGTTCAACGAACGAGTTTCTATCCGATGTTTCTTATACAGGGTGAGGCATTTTAAACAGGTCACCTGAATAACTCGCTTGTTTTTGAAGATAGGAGAAAATGCATTAGACCAAACTTATTTGGTATCGGGGGGCTCATAATCTGGTATTACCAATTTTTTTGTAGGTGGAGGCGTCAAGGAGATATGAAGGTCAACTTTGT